CATTTGTCCAAGCATTTTGGGCCAACCCTCATAAACTCAGACATCTGTTCATAGAAGCAGTGACCCGCGTGTCGCTACAAGCATTCCGAGTGCCCAGAATGCGATTTCTCACTCCCAACCCCATCAAAGGAACAAGGGCTCCGTGGAAAATGGCTAGAGGCGGGCAGTGCAAGAGAAGCCTGATGTCTTTCGTTGCGCTGGGCAGGAAGGAAGTGATCCAAGGGTGACAGGAGCATCCAGAGAGATCGGAAGAGTGGGCTTGAAGGAAGGCGCTCCCCGTGGACAAATAAGGGAGAACGCGAGCATTAAAAGAGTAACGAAGAGCCTGGCAGTGAGAAAGGCCAAGTGGAAAGTCTCACAGGCGGCCCACACTGCAGGAAGTCAGGGCCATTACACCAATGTTCTCGCGCCGTCCTGGGCGCCGTTCTCACCATGGTTATGGAAGGTACGCACATTGGGGAGTTGGGTGAAGGGAAAATGGAAACTGACTGTACCATGTTGGAAACTTTTCTGCAGGTCTAAATTTATTCCAACATAACAAACCAAAAGATAAAAAGACAGGCATCATTATAGCTCATGATAAATGAATATTCTTGAATAAAATACACACTCTTGAATCTGTGTGTCCACAGTGATATAAATCAATAGGAGAGAAGAGAAAGTTTTCCCAGCGTGCCAGTCAATAAATAAATGTAAGAAATTGGATGAAATTAGAAAATCCCCATTTGGCAAGCATCTTGGTACAAAATGATCCGGGCAAGAATTACCAACGGTTGGCACAACAGGTAAGTAAAAGGTGAGGAACACGTTGTTTTTAAATGTCGTTTGTTGGGGTTTTTCCTTCCTCTCTCAGTTACCACTTAGGAGTTGAGAAGTCTGACAAGGAACAAAGTCACATCACGAGTAGGGCCGGTTTGAGGCTGGGAGCCTACTGCAGCCATCAATCACTGGGAGACAGCTGACAAACACGCTGTGAAAGAAAGGGCCTAACTCGTAGCCTTCAAGAACTGCAAACTCATGAGAGACAAGGGCAGACTGAGTCAAACGTAAACACTGAGCTTAGGTAAGACACCTTAGCCCACTTTGCCAAAGAGAGACCTCCCCACTTCCTGGGCTCTGCAGTCTTCTGACTGCCACTTGGGTTGGGGACTGGGTCCAGTATGGCCCAAACTTTCCCTGGGCTGGGGGAAAGCCTGGGTGGGACCCCAACCCCGCCCATCTGCAAGCTGACAACACTGACAAAGCCACCCAAACAGGAGAGAACGGAACGCAATGACACAGCGAGCAGGCACAGTTGTTGAGCCCTATCGCCTGTGTGCTAAGTGCTGCGCTGTCCTCACATCTCATCCTCACGGGCACGAACCCTGTGAGGCGGACACGGCTCGCTTCCTTTTTAATCCAAGACTAAAGAAGCTCAGAAGGTTCAGGAACCTGCGAGAGGCAGTCAGTGGCAGCACTGATTCAAATCCAGGTCTGTCTGGATCCAGGCCCACAGTCTTTGTCTGGAGCCTGTGGATGATCTACGATGGTCCTTCCTTTAAGATTTTCTGCATCGGAGCGACAGCAAAAGCATTCACTCCATGGAATCAATCCCCAGCGGAGTTCCTCCCTTAGCCTTGATGGTCTTTAAACCGGGGGGTGTGTGGGGTAAGTGTGTACTTCTTTGCTTTCAAAGATTTCTCAAAGGGATCTGCGTCTCAGAAAAGGCTGAGTCACACCTATGGGCATGGCTTGGCCCGCATCTCTCCTCTGACGGATGGAGAAACTGATTTTTGAAACTCGAATTCCTACTTGAGGCTTTTGCTGCTTATTCTGGAGCAGCACAGCGCAGCCTACGCAGTTCTCCTACAAGCAGCTTCCGCTGCCCCAGCACCGGGAAACATCCTGGGGAGGCCAGACAGCAGGACGAGCGGCCAGCGCTTCATTTTTCACACAGCCCCTGGGGGCCGGGGCTGGCTCTTTGCCCAGAGAATCATGAACAACGAGTGCACTTTGTGTGGGAGAGAATGGATACCAGAATGCTAATAATTCAGAAAAATGATTCTTCAGACAGGTATGTTTGGCGGGGAGGACCTGATTATTCCAAACATGTGCTTTAAAACCTTGGATCGGTTTTAAACTCTTTAAAACACCCACACTATGAATCTTGGTTGAGAGAGAAGGGCTGTCTGAAAACAGCCATCCGAGTGGGCTGCTCTAAGACCCTCGCTGTACAACAAGACAAGTCATGGCTCCTTTCCCCACTGCCCAGCAGGTCTTCCTAGTCCCCTGGGGAGGAGGCTCTTTGGAGGAAGAAGACAGGGGGCTTCCAGAGTGGACCAGAAACAGAACGCCTGCTGGAGACAGCCGAGTAAAGCGCACCAGAGCACGGTGGCTTCACACGGCAGAGACGTCAAAGCAGTGCTGCTGCAACCGTGGTGCTTTTCCTCTTAGAGGAGGGTGGGGAGAGGGTGTTTTGTTCATGGGGAAGCTCTTTTACTGAGTTCATCTTCTGGATTTTGGTATGAAGCTTTTTTGTACTCGGGAGGGGAGGAAAGGAGAGACCATCTATAAAATCACATTTAGAAAACGCTGTGGAGTCTATTTCAACTCACAGTGACCCTGTTTTGGGTTTCTGAGACCACAGATCTTTCCAGGTGCAGACAACCTCATCTCTCTCCTGGGGAGCAGCTAGTGGGTTTGAACAACGGACCTTGTGGTTAGCAGCCCAATGTCCAGCCCACACTGCCACCAGGACTCTTTAAAAAAATCAGATCCCCATACCAAAACCCACTGCCATCAAGTCAATTCTGACTCATAGCAACCATTTCTGAAACTGTCCATCTTTATGGGAGCAGACAGTCCGTTCCTTCTCCCAGAGCGGCTGGTGGATTTGAGCCGCCCACGTGGCTGTCAGCCCAATGTGTAGCCCACCAGGTCTCCCTTATCGGATCCCATACTGCTCATACTCACCGCCTTCGAGCCAAGGCTGACTCATAGCGACTCTAGAGGGCAGGGCGGAACAGCCTCTGGGACTCCTGAGACTAGAACTCTTTACGGGAGTAGAAAGCCCCGTCTTCGTCCCCAGGAGCAGCTCGTGGTTGCCCACGGCTGACCTTGCAGTTAGTAACCCCTGCAGCACCACTGCACTGCCAGGGCTCTTTGAATGCAGTGACTCGACTCAAAACCTTACCTCACATGGAAGGCTCATCCCTAAGCACATTTGGAAATAACAATGGTTAACCCATGATGAAGCATTGAAAACAAAACAGAAAAAGGACTAAACACCAGTGCCTAAACACTTGCCCAGAGAACTCCCTCAGGAACCCTCTCGCAGATGCTGAGCCCCTCTCAGGTTGCCCTCAGTCTATCCATCTCCTCGTGGAGCCAGGCCAGTCTATCGAGCCTGCCCCAGAAATCCCATCTCCCCAAAGCTGCCTTCCAGCAGGCCAGGGTCTCTCACAGGTACTCGGGCAATGGGGAGGGGTCTTAAAGCATGTGCCCGATATCCTGGGGGAGAACCTTGACTGTGGGGGCTGCTCTGTGGAAACTGTCTGGAGCCTTTGAGTTTATTTTGTAAGCCTATTTGTAAGCTGTCAAAGAGCCTATGAGCCTGTCCTTGAAAGCTAGTAAAGAAAAATGTCCGCCAATGGTGGCGATGGAAAGGCTCCTCGTTACAGTAGAATTCTAGTGAGTCAGAGCAGAAGTGTGAGGAAAAACAAAATATTCAAATATTCCCACAGTACCCACCCATCAGAGAGTCACGGATGATAATGAGAAAAGTGACTTTACAGCGGAGCCCCCACGCTGACTACCTTTAGCAAGTGATCAGTGAGGCTCACCACACGGGACATCAACATGGTGGGCTCCTACTGTGGTGCGCTGAGAAGGACCCAGTTGAAGGTGTAAAAAGTGAATCCAACCAGGAGGAAACATCAGACATATCACAGGTGAGGGCACAGTATACAAAAATAACTGGTCGTGAAAGGCAGAGTCAAGACAGAGTTGCTCAGGATGAAAAGAGACAGACCAACGAAGCACGTGATTGGTTCCTGGACCGCTAATGGGACAACAGCTCCTTCCTGGTTTTGTTGACTGGGTTCTATGAGAGGTTGACAGTCTCGTGGAGAAGGCAAGTTTTGGGGCCTATTACTGTAACTCTCTGTAAATCTCAACGGCTTAAAATGAAAATTTGGGGGGAAAGTATATTTGCAAACACATACACTTGAGATTAAGCTTTCTTGTTATTTTCTCCAATACCTGACATTGTATAGCCCTCTGGAGGGGCAGCATGCCACTATATAAACACCCCCGTGGGCTTCTGTGATTTGTAGATATAATGAATGACATTCAAACAACATAAAAGTATCCTTCCACTGGTGAGTTAGTTAATTGTGCCAACCTGGCCAATAATCACACATGGGGCTAATTGAAAGGCAGAATGATAAATGGGTGGTGAGCCTCGCCTTTCTAGTTCTCGGGTCTCTTGCTTTGTGATGGTCGCACCAGGGTACAGCTGCCTTAGTAGTTCCCTGCTTCAGCTTGCAAGATTGACTTCCTACAAGACATCCCCAAGGAGAAGCCACATGGACCTATCCCGATGCAGCCCTGGGTGCTAGAGCAGCCGTGTGGAGACCCCTGCTAGTGCTGAGATGCTTATTCGTTCACTGACTCAGCTTTCCTCCTGCAGTCGGCATCATTGCCTCTGTTTTGTGAGGTGGAGGACTTTGTGGACTGGTGTTGGGTTAATGGGTTAATGTTGGACTTGTGGGCTTGGGCAGCATTGGGTTGGGATGTTTTCGTGATGCACACTTTCTTTACATAAAACTCTCTTATACATGAGTTGCTGTGGATTTGTTTCTCTAAAGTACCCAGACTAATACAATAGGGTTCTGGGGAACATCACAGGTATGCTGAGACCCTCCATCAGTCTCCGGAAGGGACTGCACCCACAGGAGGCGCAGCCACGACCAGGAGAGAGAGGGATGCCAGCAGAGGCCAGCAGGGTGTTTCACACTCACTTGTCCTGGGACTCGATATACACGTAGAGGTGAGGCTCGAAGCACTTGGAGACGATGCCGTGGAAGGGATTGTCGGGGGCTTTCGGCTTCTTTGGCTGTAAAGAGAAATCAAGGAGAAAGAAACCTTATACTTGAACACATCATTGCGAAAATGTCCAGCAGTTTCAAAGAAACATCCCTCCCAAGTTCACCAGAAACATTCCGATAAGAAACCACTCAATGTCAAGCTGGGAATCCACCCTGGCTGCTGACCCCTCCTCCCAGGTCGGTTCTGCTAGCGTGTTGACTTGCTGGGAAGGGCGCAAGGTTGACTGTTACTCTGACAGCACGTGGGTTTTCCATTTGGAAGCTACTCATCATCTGACCGGTGTTGTAAAATGTTTAATCCTCGATAGTGGCTGCACCTTGTACGGATTTGTACATAGCTTTACAATTTCCAAAGTGCTTTCGAGTTATCTCATTGTGATAGCCTCCACTTACTGACTGCTGTCACGGGCCAAGTACTTAGACACCAGCTAATATCTCATCTGCTCCTGACAAGAGCCCTTACTGTAGGTAGGTATTGGTATTATGACTACAGTTGTGCGCCGAAAGAGTTGGAAGACCAGGAAGCTCAACAGCCAGGGCTTCATGAAAAAGTACAGGGGAGAAGTTTTCCATTCCCCAAACTAGACCTCTTTCAACCACATCATGGCTTTCCTGTCGTGGTTCCTAGACTTTTGTATTTCACTGACAAGTGGGGGTAAAAAAGAAAAAAGGGGCAGGGGATCAACACAGGCTTGCTCTTGTCTTACTGTGCTACTTCCTCTTCTCTTCACAAGTTCTGAAAAGAAAGGGTATTTTTACTTCCAAACAATGTCTAAGCAACCTAGTGGCAGCCCTTATCAATCACAGACGTGGTGGCCGTACACCCGATGGGAGGGGCTTCAGTCTGTGGAAGCGTGAAATGAAGAGATCGAGGGTTTCGCGAACTTGTGAAGTACACCCTCCCCTCCGACACACAGACTGACAGGTAGACACACAGAGTTTTTATTTTTTGCATTTTCTCTTACATTAATGAAAAACTGGAGCTGCATCAGCCTCCAGTCTGATATGTGGGAACCACTCACATGGAAGTCTTCTAGAAAGCATGTGGCTTGATGGTTAAATTCGCTACTTAATTCCTTTTGAAAACATTTAAAAAGAATAAGCACGCAAGTAAAAAAATAATAATAAAAAATAAACACACAAGTATCTTCCTGCGTGTTATATCCAAGTCCTAATAATCTCAATTCTACCTATCATCAGAGGTCAGCCAAAGGGCTCTGAGCCATAACGACCTCACTGAGGTTGGTGGAAGATCGCAATGGAGGTAAACTGGCACGCACATGACTCTTCCCAGTGAACTGCCCGTATTGATGTCAGGTGCTGTCGGGGTGGTTCGGACTCATCGGGACCCTGTGCATGACAGAACAAAACACCACTTGGTCCTCCGCCATCCTCAGAGTTGTGCTTATGTTGCGGCCACTGTGCCAATCCATCTTGGCGAGGGTCTTCCTCTGCTTCACCAAGCACGACGTCTTTCTCCAGAGCATGCTCTCATGGTCAATGTCCGAAGTATGCAAGACAAAGTCTTGCCTCTAAGGAGCACTCACTCTGGCGGTACTTCTTCCAAGACAGATTTGCTTGTTCTTTTGGCAGTCCACGGTACTTTCAACATGCTTCAGCAAGACCATAATGGGGAGGCATCGATTCTTCATGGGTCTTCCCTATTCAATGTCCAACTTTCACATGCACAGGAAGTAGCTGAAAATACCATGGCTGGAGTCAGGCTTATCTTAGAAACACCCCTGCTGTGCAACACTTTAAAAACAAGTCTTGATGTGGAAGATTCACCCAGTCCTATGCTTCATTCGATCTCTTCACTGATCGTGGATCCAGGGAGACTGCAATCCTTCGCAACGTCGATCTTTTTTCCATTGACATGATGTGACCTATTGGTTCAGGTGGGAGGATTCTGGTTTTCTTTACACTGAGTTGTGATCCATATTGAAAGCTACGAACCTTGATCTTCATCAGCAAGTGCTTCACGTCATCCTTGTTTCGATCACCCAAAGTTGTGTCATCAGCAGATCACAGGTTGTTAATAAGCCTCTGAATTCTTCTTCATATAATCCACTTCTCTGGTAATTTGCTTCGTGTACAAATTGAATAAGCATGGTGAGAGGATACAAGCCCGACACACAACTTTCCTGATTTAAAATCAGGCAGTATTCCCTTATTCTGTTGCACCACTGCCTCTTGATCCATGCACAGGTTCTGCACAGCACCGTCAATTATCCTGTAACCCCCTTCTTCTCGAGGCCATCCAGAGTGTGTTATGAGCCATGCAGTCCACTGTCTGCATAGCCAACGAAACATCTCTCCTGCATCCTTTGCTTTCAGCCCCAATCCATCTGACATTGGCAAGGGCATCCTTGTTCCACATTCTCTTCTGAACCAGGCGGGACCACTCCAAGAGCCCTCTGCTCTTAGGCTGAATAAACGCAGCAAAGGCTGACCTCTTCCTCTCCAATGACAAGCAGACAAAGCAATCACCTTCCTAGACAGTTTAAAATAAGTTACTGCAGTGGCTAAACGCGTTTGCAAAACTGGTGCTCACCCCAAATTAAGTGTCCACCATTCAGTTTCGTACTTAGCCCTCTCTCCTTTTTTACCTTCTAAGAGAGTTCCCTGTCTACTCTTTGGGCCTGTTTTTTACAAACTCGGGTCCCTCCCTAAGAATAACTAGCGTCTGGGCTCTCTGCTTTCTCCGATCACCCAGAAGCCATTTAAGAGGCAGGCTTCCGGCTGAAACTCCGAAGAGCCTCAGAGACTCCCAAGCCCAGTTCACTTAAGTCACAGATGCCCTGGGAGTTCTCCAGAGCTTCCCCTAGTTCGGCACGGCAGAGCCACCGTGGAGCACATGACGGGTGGGCTCCCAATAGTTTTGGTAACCCATTTGTCCTACATTTTCTAAGTTAGTCATTGTTTCTCGTCATTCCATTCTTCACAGTGAGGAGGTTGTTAAATGACTAACGTCATGTGATCTCGTTTGTTTAATTCTAGAAATCTCGCGCTTGCCTTCACTTTGGAAAAGGGGGTCATCATATCCAGTCTTTTATTTGTTCAAATCATAAACACCATACGAATCGATCCCAAGGACTATAAACATTCTCTTCGAAACATTATTTTCCCCTTTTTCTGAAGAATATTCGTACTTCTGCAGGATAACTTCCAACACTTAGAATGGGAGTTTACCTGTGATAGAATGCTGTAATGTCTTAAAGCCACATGTGTATTTTGCATTTGGCTTTATGAGCCCACATCAATTCAATGGCAGTGAATGGGTAACTTATGTGTACCTTTTCAGTGCTTGACAATACATGTGATTGATCGCTTTAAAAAGGGTTATATGGAGGGGAGAACAAAAAGTGTGGGGGAAATGGGATGAAAAGGTAATGGAATTTTTCCTAGAATTTTTGGAAACTCCTTCTTATGATAGAGCTTAAATCAAGACTGTGGATGAGATGGTACTATATCAATGTTAATTTACAAGTGGATACCCTTCTTAGGATATACATCCTGAAGTATTCAGGAATAAGGGGACACAACTTACAAATTGTTCTGAGAGAGGGAGAGGGGAGGAGCGGGAGGGAATGATAAAGTGGCGCTATGAGAAGCAGAAACAGTAACAAATGGTGGAACTAGGTGAAAGGTATTGGGGAGTTCTTTGCAATTCTGCTGCAATGTTTCTCTAACTTTGAAGTGCTGTAAAAAAGGAAGTGGAGAATAACAAAAGACTCGGGGAGTGGGTGCCCAGAATCCCAGAGGGAGGAGTGGAGCCTGTGGGAGAAAGAAAAGCTGCCTGCCCCCCTTCTATGTGCAGAGGCTGGGGCTGTGCGGGAAAGCACACACCGGCCTGAGGAAACAGGCTGGTCGGACCCCTCCTGGGTTTGACAGTGCAGTGCCCTCACGCTGGATGTTGCCCCAAGGAACTGCTCCTGGGGGAGCCGTCGTGACCTGTGACCTGCTGGGCGGCTCGCTGCTCCAAGGGGGAGAGAGGAGGCTTTCTGCTCCGTCAAGAGTCACAGCCTTGGAAACCCACAGGGCATCCTCCCGGCCCTCCAGGCGTGTTACCAGTTGGATCCGCCTCGATGGCAGTCGAGAATGTCTGTCTGTCTGTCTGTCTGTCTGTTTGTTTGTTTGTTTTTGAGACGTCACCTCAGGGGAAGCTGGGAGATAGGCCCCCGGGACCACTCTGCACTATTTTTGTCCCTCTTGTAAGCCTGTAATTCTTTCAGCATATCGAGTTAAAGACGAATTGGACTGTGAAGGGGATGTTTTGTGATTATCTTAAGCTGTTTCTTGTGACTCAGGTTTTCATATGTCTATGTATGTATATAAATTGCCACAGGATAAAAATCTAAATAAGCCGGAAGGGCTCTAGGTGATTAAAAAATATGGGTACATAGTATTCCAACAAACTCATCCTGATCAGTCTTCCCGATCAAAGGCCCTGGGGGTGACGGAGTCTGGAGAACACCCCAAATGTGGCAGTCAGAGGGAGGTTCCACTCCACCCTGCCTCTGCCCACAAATGTCCCGGCCACTGCCCTGCATCTTGTCTCCGCAGTTCTCAGGGCTTCAGGCAGCACTTGTAGCAGAAGCTGGACGGTAAGAGGCCCTCAGTGGGCGGGATGTCTTGGCATTTCCCTCTCTCCCCCTCCTGGGCTGCCTGCTGCCTGCAGCTGCTTTATGAATGTGCCCAGGTTTAGAGAGTAGGTGCTGGAACCTCGATCCAAACCCGTGTCTCCCTTTGCTCAGCCCAGCTCCCCGGCGTGCTGATTCTCAGCTTACTGAACAGACTAAGTCATTTCGCAGTAGCACTCAGGCGGGAGCTCAGAGTGTGTGAATTTGGTCCAAAAGCTGCAGCTGGCTAAGCTATTTCCTCCTGGAGTTTGATGGACTAATAAAAGGTTGCTGTTGTCACAGTAAGGAGGTCTGCAGCTGGTCGCATTTCCTTTTATTACTATCCAATGTAAACAGATTAAATCTAACTGCTCGGATCACCAGAAAGGGACATTTTTAAACCAGAAATGCCTTACTCCTTCTCCATCTTTCCTTTATACTTGGAGCGCCCTCATTCCCCCTTTCAGGGGCCATTTCTCACCACCAGGAAAGTCCTGGAAACTGCCCAAGCCCTCACAACTGACTTCTTCTTCTCAAGTTCGCTCTCTCTTCACTGGCGGCGACTGGAAGGCCACTCTGCGTTGACTGTGGACAGTGCAACGGGTCAGGTGTCTCAGGGACCACTCTCCTGACCCCCTCTCCCTGGCTTGACCACTAGCATCCTGAGGGGTCCCTCCTCTGAGCCCCTCAGGGCTCCTGCTCCCAACTCCAGGAGCCATTAAGCTGCTGGGGAGAGGGGGGTCCTGGAGAGGCTACTAATCAGGCACAAGCAAGACAAGTGCTGGTGAAGCCACCACAGGAGCCAGAGTGGCATGTAAGGAGGGACTAGCCACTGGAGTCTAAGTTTTACTACTCAGTGGGCAGTCACGGAACTGTGGCTGTCGTCTAGTCCAGGAGGTTTGAATCTTTTTAAAACAGTCGTGAAGCCCCTCAATTAAAAGGAAATTCATCAGCAGTTCACTATACCCACCGCACACAGCCACCAAGTCCATCCCACCTCGTCCCGACCCTGTGCACAGGCCAGCACAGAGCTGCCCCACGGTGCTGATAGTCCTTATGGAGCAGACTGGCACAGCGTTCTCCCACGGAGCCACTGGGGGTTTGAACAGCTGACCTTGCAGTTAGCAACCAAGCTCTTCACCAGTGTGCCAGCGAGGCACCTGCATCCCAGTGCAAACAGCTCTGTGGGGAGGGGCCTAGGCCTAAGGACTCTTCCTAAACCCCGAGTGACACACTGGATGGGGGTCCCAAGGACTGCAGTTTGAAAGCCATTAGCTCATCTTCATGGGTGAAGGAACCAGGGGAGCCGAGAGAAAAGAACTGTGCTGAGGTCACGAGTCCAGCACTCCCAGCCCACGAATCTGCTGGAACCAGAGTGCACTCTGTGGCCTGACTCCGCACCCTGCACGTCTGTAGCCGGAAGGGGGCTTTGGTTCTCCGCCAGCCAATAATCTGAGAGTTTAAACCAAGGACCTGGAGTCCCATAAACTCAAACTCCCTGCCATCGAATTGATTCCGACTCTTAGCGACCCTCTAGGACAGGGCAGAAGCGTCGTGTGGGTCCAGAGACTGTCACTCTTCACAGGAGCAAAAGCCTAGTCTTTCTCCCTCTCAGCGGCTGGGGGTTTCCAACTGCTGACCTGGCGGGTAGCAGCAACAAGGCCACAGGGGCTCCCCAAGGTAACCTCAAGATAGTCCTTCCAGTTTGGTCACTGCGTTTTGTTCGGGGCCTTCACTTCTGGATCCCTCACTCTTGAGTGCGGCGTCGGGTGGGTGTAACGAAAAAGAGCCCTGGGAAAGGCATTCCACCCCCAGCAAACTGGCCGAGGGCATCCGTTTATGAGCTGGGCACCCCTGCGCACAGCACTTAACCTCGCTGAGCAGTCCTTTCTTCACCTATGAAGTGAGAGGCGGGCACCGTGAAACTGAAATCGTAAGGAGGGTACAGGGCTTTGACCCTAGAAAGCACCGGGAAACGGTGAGCTGTCCATAACGTGACATCGATGCCATCAGTGGACCAGACACACTCGATGGCATCACTGCAGAACTGCTCCCGGGAACTCTGGGCCCACAGCCCGGCCGGGGCACACGGCTACCCGACGGGAGGAGGGCAGAGCCAGCAGCTGCCGAGTGTGCCTGGGGGTCTCGCAGAGCTGCTCTTCCCAGACAGCCTCCTTTCCAGTGGTGTCTGGAGCACAACAATGCCGGGAATGCCGGCGTCCAAGTGTGGAAAATTAAAAAGGAGGATCGCTAATCCAGAAAGGAAAAGATCTGATTGACTGCTCTAACCTCGCTCGTCATAAAATGGCAGTGAAACAAGAGTGCCGTTCTGTAGGCTACAGGGAGAGGAAATTTCGAGTTGGACCGAAAGAAAGCAGGAGGAAATTAAAGTGTGAGTGCTTAAAAGGACCTCTCCACACGTGCCATTGGTCGCTGTGGTATTCCAGGCCTGCCCAGTGATCAGCTTACAGTGGAGGGGAGGCCTCTCTGCAGGGATGGTGCTGCTGCCTTCAAGGGGGATCTTTCCACCTGTCCCATCGGCACCCTCCAGATGAGAGAGTGACCACAAGTGAACTGACCAGATCAGGAGGTGATGAATGAGGCAGGCCTCACCAGATGGGCTAACTATGCTTGTGCACGGTGCTAGCTTCAGTGGTTAGGCACTTCAGGAGCAGAGTGGTGGGGTCAGAGAACTGCTCCTTCTCTGTTTTCTAGACATTTAGAAAACAGGTCATTCTAGAAAGACCACCAGAGCTGTAACCTCAGCAGAATGCGGTCAATACCAAAGGATCCATCATCCTTGGAGAAGCGGACGGTTCTCTGAAGCAAGCATTAGGTGGTGATGAAAGCCGGACTTACTTGCTCTAAGTTTCCTTTCTCCATCGCCAGTTCCTCCAGCTCGGCTGCCGGTTCATCTTCCAGGAAAGGATTGGTGGACGGGGGCGGAGACTCGAGCTTTTCCTATTAAGAAGACGGGAGAGGTTATCATCAACCCTGGTAGATGAAGCAACAGATGGAAAACCGCTAGCTCAACAACACAACTCCTGTTTCCATCACTGACTGCTTGTCAACAAACCGTGTAACTTCAGTGCACGACGTGGCCTAACGGCCTTGCTTTCCACATTTACCAAGGACCAAGCAGGTTCGGAACCAGGGATCCAACAGCCTGACCCCTAGGCCTGCCTCTGGGCCAGTGGTCAAGAACCCAATGTTATTAACGAATTTAAAAATCTGTTTGGTTGATCTTCCTTTCCCACCAATCTCCTCTCCCTAAAATACCAGCAATCTCCAAAAAGATAACTGGAGGTTAGACACAGTGCTTTCAAAGAGATAATGTTTTCTAAAATTAGTTTTACGTTTACAGGGATTTCCGACCCCACCCTCACCCCCGAGCCAGGCAAAGAAGCCAGAGTCTGAAGGTTCTCCATTTGAAATGCGTGCTTGGTGATGAGAACACATTGTTTCTCCTCGGGGGCTCTCATCACAACACCATGGTCCTCCTGCATTACGCTAACGCCGCCCGGATCTCTAGGCGTTCTCCGCGCACTGGGGCTGGAGCCACAGAACAGCATCTAAGTAAGTACATGGTTTCAGTGAATGTAAGCTGAACAATCTTTTTTTTTTTTTTTTTTT